TGTTGTCTTCTACAGACCACTTCCTCCCATACCCCACCCTCTTTTTGGGGGAGGGAGGGGGCATTCCCTCTTAAAATGCCCTACTTTTCCACATTTAAAGTATCTGTTTTCTCCTCTGGCCATTTTTGGGTTCCGCTCCCCTCCTGTTTTGTCCTGACTGTGGGGGTCGGGATCCTGAGGGGCATTGGTTAATTATCCTTCCCCTGAGTTGCCTGCCTGAAAGTGATGGTGGTAGGGGTGTGTTGTGGAGTTGGTTCTGACTCATAGTGACCCTATATGTGGTTTCCAAGGCTGTAAATCATTACAGGAGCAAAAAGCCTCATGTTTTTCCTGCAGAACTGCTGGTAGTTTTGAACTGCTGACCTTGAGGTTTCATATCCCGATTCATAACCATTATGCTACTAGAGCTCCTTGCCCTAAGGTAGACAACATAGTTTCTGTTTTTCTTTATCCCGTTTTACATTTACCTTTAACAGGTCTTCCATAGACCTGTTTTTCCAGTTTTCTTTTTTTTTTTTTGTATGTCCTTTTTCCAGATATCAGGCCAAGTATTAGTGAAAAAACGGAACTTTAACATTCCCTCGCCCAAAGGATCTCTTGGTCTATCCTGGCAGATTTTCTCATTTGCCTTTTTTTTTTTTGGTCCCCTGAACCATTTAGGGGTACAGTGATGAATCACAATTTCTCCTCTTCCTAAGGGGACTTTTCCAAGAGGAGAGTTCAGGGTTTGAGTCTGGGGTGTAGGAGGAAGGGCAGGATTGTAAGGCAGGGAGTAGAGAGAAAAGGGGGTCCCAAAGGGAAGAAAGTTTTTCTTTTTTCACCTTTTTATCCCTTGTCTTAAGTGCAAATAGGGCAACAGGACCCCATCTCCAGCATAGGGCATAATCTGTTTCCTCCTGAGGGATAGGACTTTTGTTATTGACATATTCAATTAAAAATTGATAGACCCATTCCTCGTCTGAGTCAAATTTAGGCCAAAAGACAGTTTAAAAATTGGTTCCTGTGTCCAAAAGAAACAACAATATCTTCTCATTTGTTATTTCGATTTCCCTTTAGTTTGTGCACTATTACTGTAATACTTTAGCATTAATCCTAATAGACTATTAGGGGGAATTTTGTCCTTGTTTTCATTTTCTCTAGTCTTTTACTGGTATTATTTCCCATCCCAGCTACCTGGCTGTGTCTTCTTACAAAGAGGCTCAACCCCCCTTCTATATTTGGAGGTTTCTTGCTCTCTTTTATTTTTGCTTTGTCCATCTCTGGCCACTTCCCTGTGGGAACTTTGGCCCTTCTTGTCAATTGGCCTGTTGGTATATATACCCCCAACTTGGATCAAGTCCTTGACTCGATACTGCGCTAAGCCGTATGAGGTGGTCATGGAACTCCACACTGACTTTGTGCCCAGGGCACGTCTCATTCAACACACACAACCTCTGAGATGTCCCAACTACCAAAAAAGCATTGGCCGCCCCCGTGGTTTTGCTTACCTTGGCCTGTGCACAGAATTACCTATTTGCCACATGGTAATGCTCAAGTAGGACTTTTTCCTTGGGAGACTTCAGCAGATCTCACCCAAGGGCTGCCGCAACTAGACAGCAGGACTCATCTCCCTCAGAGGAGAAGGCTAAAGCTGCTTCCCAAAGGGAATAGGAAATCCCAGACGGGCCACCAAATTGTTAGAAATGAATTCCGATGTGGCGTAAAAGACACTTGGTGAGACTAAATTACCTTGGCAAAGCAAAATTTACTCCTGCAAGAGGTTGCATGCACATAGACGTACATACAGGAACAAGCCAGCGAGCTCACCAGTGGGCAGTCCACTTGGGTTTTTAATCCCTGACGCGAGTCTTAAGGCTGTGTCTCACCCATTGGCTAGGGCTTTGACTGCACAATCTTGTCCCTTATCTGCTTGGCTAGTTCAGATTTCTAAGGCGCACATTCCTGTTTTAGGAAAGGAAAAAGAAAGATCGTAAAGTCTTTACTCACTTCAGGAAGTAGTCAAAAGAAAAAGAGAGCGATCATAAAGTCTTTAGTCGCTTAGGAAGTAGTCAAAGAAAAAGAGATCATAGTCTTCAGGAAGTAAAGAAAAAAAAGAAAGGTTACCCAAATACAATCAACAGGATTATAATAAATATTTATTTCCACATATTTAGCAGTATGCATTTTGTCTTTTGGTGGTTTGTTAACTCATTTATCACTTAATAATTAAATGAGTATATACAAAACCCTTGTGGTACTATGATTTAAGCACTAGGCTGTTCCTCAAAATGTCTGTGATTGGGACCCAATAGCCAGTCCAAGGAAGAAAGGTGTGTCTGTCTGCTTCCATAAGAGACTTACAGCTGACAGTTCTGCTTTGTCCGTTAGTGGAATTGATATGAGAACCACAGGTTTTTAACAGGTATGGATGTACCATAGTTTAGAGGTGTGTTTATAAGACTTCCTTTAGCCAGAGTGAAATATGTAGTATGAACCATCATTCTTGCCCAGGTAACCAGAATCTTCTTTGTTCTGTCATATAAACCAATAATTTAAACCTGCTGAATTCAAAGATCACTTTTTTCTTCCGTATTGCAGATCAATGTGTCATTATTGCATCCACTGAGTTGAAGGAATGTGCTGTGTATTCCACCATGGCTAGGCATAGCGATAGCCCCTCCTAGCTTAGTGCAGTTTTATGGTATAACTGTGGTGATGTTATGTTATTAGATGGATTCTGGCCTCATTAAGAGGTGTGCATGGAGCTCTGCTGGCACTGGGGTAGACATTGAACTACTAACCACAAGGTTGGCAGTTCAAGCCCACCAACTGCTCTGCAGGCAAAAGATGAGGCTTTCTGCTTCCATAATGTATAGCCTCAGAAACCTTATACAGGGTTGCTATGAGTTAGAACTGAATCACGGCACTTAACAACAAAGGATGTGCTGGCTTTAAAACAAACAAAAGAGATTTAGGTCAGTTGATTGTCAAATATAAAATGTTTTGTGTTGCTTTGATCTACTAATGTCACAAAACAAGCAGAAATGCCAAAACACCTTCCAGTCCTCAGTTGGACGTTTTAGAACTCGTGTGAAGGAAGGAGCCTGAACTGAAGGAAAAGATCTACCTCTAGCTAGACTTGGATTCAAACCTTGGCTCTGAAACTGGGCAAGTCACTTAACCTATCTGAGACTTAGTTTTTTCATCTATAAAGTGGAATTTCTTGGCAAAGTTAGAGATAATAGGTATAGAATGCCCAGCACAGTGACAGTTTGAGACTGGGTCTCTAGAGATGCAAAACTAGTGAAGCTTGTATACATACACACACATACACACACACACACATATGTATGTACATTATTGTTGTTAAGTGCAGTCAAGGCGGTTCTGACCCATAGCGACCATGTATAGGGTTTCTAAGGAGCAACTGGTGAGCTTGAACCACTGACCGTGCACTTCAAACTGACTTTGCATTCCAGCACATTAACCCACAGCACCACATCAGGACTCCATACGTATGTATAAAAAGGGGTTATATGAAGGCAATGGCTCACATAGTTGTAGAGTGGGCAAGTCCTATGTCCATTGGTCAGATGTCAGACTGGAGACTTGTGACTCACACAGCTGCAGGGCTGATGAACCAAGATCAGTAGGTGAGAAAGCAGGCAGACAGGTAAGCTGCAGAGTCCAGACCCAGCAGAAAGCAAATAAGCTTTCCTTCATGTTCTGTATATTGGAAGCAGCTCATACTCTGAGGAAGCTTCCTTTCAATTGACTGGCTTCTCGTAGCATCTCATCATGAGGGATAACTCCACCTTCACTGCCAAGCCACTGAGAATTCTGGCCCAGTCAAGTTGACACAAACCTTACCTATCACAGCCGTAATGTATATGGATAAATAATAAGAGTTGTTATGTCCTTAGTGTTTGCTTAATTACTGAGACATTCACCCTCCAACCCCTACTGTAAGGTGTCCTCGTGAAAGACAAGAAAACTTGACACAAGATGTGTTAAAACATATATACAGTCATGCGTCCACAATGCATTCTGTAAGGTAAGATGTTATATGATTTGTGTGTTGTGTGAACATACATATATATATATGTAAAAGAGAGAGAGACCGTCTGTCCCCCGGATTACAACCAAGTTGTCTTCCTAAATCAGCTTTTAGCTTGATATTGTATGCAAGTTGTAACCATTTGGTTCATACCTAATATTAATTAAACATTTGTCTTAAATATAAGCCATGGTATTTTCAATAACCTCATATGCATGTGAAAGCTGGACAGTGAATAAGAAAGACTGTAGAAGAATTGATGCCTTTGAGTTATGGTGTTGGAGGAGAATATTCAAAGTACCATGGGCTGCCAAAAGAACTAATAGTCTTCGTCTCTCATACTTCAGACATATTGTCAGGAGGGACCAGTCACTGAAGAAGGATATCATGTTTGGTCAGGTGGAGGGTCAGAGAAAAAGAGGAAGACCCCCAGTGGAGGGGATTTACCAAGTGGCAGCATCAATGGACTCAAGTGTGGCAACAGTGGTGAGGTTGGCCCAGGATCGGGCAGTGTTTCGTTCTGCTGTGCATAAGGTTGGTACCAACTCGATGGCACCTAATGACAACAACAACATGCATAAAAATTTAAAGAAACACTTTCAGATACACTAAAACATCTTTAATAATTTGTTGTTATGTGCCATAGAGTGGGGTCCAACTCATAATGATCCTTTACAGGGTTTCCAAGGCTGTAAATCTTTGCAGGAGCCAAAAGCATCATCTTTCAACCATGGAGCAACTGTTGGTCTTGAATCGCTGGCCTTGTAGTTCCCAGTCTAGTGTTTATCGTACAGAGTAATAATGATGTTTTGATGTGCATCACAAAATATCACTTGTTTGTTATTACAGACCATTATATGTACCTAGAATTTTCGTTGTAATAGTCTTTACGGACATATTGTCCAACTGGGCATTACGTGGTACGTGACTTAACTGTACTTCTTTAACGGATGGTATGTTTCAGGGATTGTGCAGATACCTGGAAAAACAGTTCGGTGACCTGAAGCAAAGAGGCATAGTGATCGGCTTTGATGCGCGTGCCCACCCACCAAGTGGAGGCAACAGCAGAAGGTACTTGACCATTTATAGGAGATGATTTTTTGGTCACATTTGTTTATTTTTCTTTTTAATCACCATTTCGGTAGCCTGACTTTAATTATCTCTAAACCTATTTGTTTTCTACATTGCTTTCCTATAAAAATAATAGGTACATTTTGTTTGCAAGTTTTAAAAAATTCTGGTTTTCCATTTGGGTTAAGGAAATAATGTTATTCGGATTCTTTAGAATTGAGTGCCTAGCGAAATGAAAGAAATTTTCAGAGTGACAGTATTATTTGTCCCTTTCGCTTTCCTCCTTTTATGCATTTCTTCTTATTCATCTACTCTTCTGTAGCTTCATAACCCTGTGCCCATTGTGAACCACCCAGCCCAAGCTGTTTTCTTATAACATTGCCAAACAAACACGGCTCTCACGGAGTCTGAGGGAGATGATGGTGGTGAAGATAATTATGATAGTAACAGCAGCTGCTGTCTGAGTGCTAATATGCTCCAGACATTGAGCGAGTCTGTTCATTCAATCCACCTGTGACGTATGTCCTGTCATAAAACGAGAGGAGGAACCATGATTTGAGCTTACCAAAGCTGACTCCAGAGGTCTGCAAACATTTTTTTTCACTAAAAGGCCAGATAGTAAAAATCTTACTCTTTGTGGTCCCTAGAGTGTCTGTGGCAATGATTCAACTTGGTCGTTGTAGTGCAAACCCAGAGGTTTTTTTTCTGTTGTATTTTGTCACCATGCTGATTTTGACTCGTGGCAACCCCATGTGTGTCAACAAAGTGAAATAGCATGCTCTCTGCTGACTTTTTGGCAATAGATCTCCAGGTGTTTCTTCTCTAGAATCTCTGGGTAGACTCTGACATTGACCTTTCAGTTAGCAGTCTAATGCATTAGCTGTCCATATACATTATTCGGAGACTTCAAAGCAGTCATGCTTCTGACTTGTAGCGATAGGACTGAAGTAGTCCTGTCCTGTAGGGTCTCCATGTTGTTTGTGTTCACAGAAGCAGACTGCCACATCGTTCTCTCATGGATTAGAAGGTGGGTGTGAACCGCTGACTTTCAGTTACCAGCCGAGCCCTATTAGAGCTGTTTCTGAATCAGCACTACCAGAAAAACCAACCCCACTGGAAATAGTTGTGTGGCTGTGAAGAAGGGAGCATGCCCAGGGCAAAAAAACCAGATGCCATGAATCCCAGATTGAATGGTTCTAAGGTTGTGTCTGGTCTTTAGCTCTGTAGGCTAAAAAATGTGACTTTTGGTTGTTGTTGTTGTTAAGTACCATGGAGTCGATTCCGACTCCTTGCGACCCTGTACAGGATTTCCGAGGCTGTAAGTCTTTACGGGAGCAGAACGCCTCATCTTTCTCTCGCGGAACTGCTGACCCTGAGGTTGGCAAGCCTGACTCGTAACCAGTATGCTACCGAGCTCCTTGTGACTTTTAGTAGTAAACCAAAAGAGAACCTGAAGCCTTGGTAGCATAGTGCATTACAAGCTGACGAAAAGGTCAGCAGTTCGAATCTACCAGTTGCTGTTTGGGAGGAAAATGAGGCTTTCTGCTCCCATAAAGATTTACAGCCATGAAAACTCTATACAGGCTCACACTGAGTTGGAACTGACTCCATGGCACACAACCACCCCCTCCATCTCTCAGGGATGGTTCCACATAGACTGAATTCATAAGAGTGATGTGATAAAAGCCAGGTATCAGCTTGTCAATTACAGTGAGAAATTGAGCTCATTCAAGAACCAGGTCATGACTGTGCTCCACCTGCCGTACAGATGGGCTGAATCCTCTGACTGCAGCATATATGGTGTTTATAAACAGTTAACTCTTCCTGTTTAGCGTCTCAGATGTCTTCATTTTCAACAGCTACCATGTATGTGCGTTTCATACATCTTTCTGGATTGTTAGCCTTGTGAGTTAAGGTACACATATTTCTTAATTTGGCCCTGGAGCCATAGTACTTCTTTAAAGTGGCTGACATTAGTCATTCTATTTGAATTTACGATCCAAGTCTCTGAGTTGGATGGGATGGACTAGAATGGAACGTAGGTACTCTTAGAAACCAGTGATGTACTAGGTATTTGGACATCAGGACATAAATATAAAGATTAAACCAGAACAAATGGAAAACTTCCTGAAGAGTTGAAAAAAAGATTGCAGCCATGGACTTTTACCTGAGGAAATGTTTATTTGTTGTTTGGTGCCGTCAAGTCAGTTCTGACTCTTAGCTACCCTGTCATAGGGTTTCCAGCTGGTGGGCTTGAACCTTGGATCTTGTTATTTGTTCTTTAATCTTCAAATTTTAATTATCTATTGGAGAACATAAGCAATCACTGCTATCATACATAAGGAGTCTTTTTTGTACACATTTATAGCTAGTTTGTGTGTATTAAATATGTGCATACACATATGTTTTTATACATACATATATATGTACACATAGATAATATGTTTGTTTTTGTTAAGGTCCATCAAGTGGGTTCTGACTCAGAGCAACCCTGTATAGGGTTTCCGAGGCTATAAATCTTTGTGGGAGCAGAAAGCTTCATAGTTCTCCTTCGGAGCACCTGGTGAGCTCGAACTGAAGACCTCATGGTTCACAGTTGTTGTTAGTGCCATGAGTAGGTTCTGACTCATAGCGACTCTGTATAGGGTTTCAGAGGAGCAGCTGATAGGTTTGAACTGCTGGCCCTGTGGTTAGCACTCCAGTGTTTGTCCTACAGAGCCACATCAGGACTCTAACCACAGGCAAAGGGGTTAGAACTATACCACCTGTTTTTGGACACACAGTCAATCCACAACATGTACAATATACTTGTGCAAAATATATTATGTGTACCACTGCTGAGATCTGGTGTGACACTTAACTACAGCATTATGCTTATGGTTCTGGAGTCCCGGTGCCACTGTAGGATAGGACTGCTAACCACAAGATTGGCAGTGAAATCCACCGACGGGTCCTCAGTAGAAAGAGGGAGCTTTCTACTCCCATAAAGATTTACAGCCTGGGAAACCCTATGTAGGGTTGCTGTGAGCCGGAACCAACTCAACGGCTTGTAGCAGCAGCAAAGATGTGAAGTGAAAGCAACTTTGTTTGTTCTTAATGAATGTAGTTTAGATTTTATTCAGATTTTCATTAAAATTATATAGTTGGATTTTATTTTTACAGCTTGTACCTAAGTAGGAGTCCTAGTGTGGCGCTGTAGGATAAGCATTTGACTATAAGGGTGGTTTGAACCGCAAGTTCGGCGATTCAAACTCACCAGCCACTCATCAGAAATCCTTGTACCAGGTCACTATGGACTAGAACCGATTCGACGGCATTTAACAACAACATAACTAAGTTGTTGTCAAGTGCTGCCAAGGAGGTTCCAACCTATAGCGAGCATTTATAGGGTTTTTGAGGAGCAATTAGTGAGCTTGAACCTCCGACCTTGCAGTTCAAACCAACTTTGCAGTGTAGTGCATTAACCCACAGCGCCTTTCCAGGACGCCACACAGCTAAGTAGATGTGTTGTTTTTCATTGTCAAAAAACATTTTTATATTATTAATGACATTAAGAATCCTAACATCTTAGTTGTTTAAGTACAAAGATGTCTCTGTGATCCAGTCAGCTTCCATGATATGGTTCAATGGAACTGTGCCCAAGAAGTATATGGGGAGAAAAGGAAGGACTAGGGGATTTCATCCTGCAATGGTGGAATGTTGATCCTTGGAAGCAAATGACTCATTTGTTTGTGGTAAAGTATTTTCACCCAGGCACAAAGAGAAGTTTGGTGCCAAACCCTGTGCCCTGCCCTTGGTCATTTGGTATGGGAGTTGAGAAAAAAGACTTAAGAGTCTGATGAGAGACAATGTGTAGATGTTGTTCCTAATTATTTCATAGAGAGCATTTCATCAAATGCTACTCAGCAAAATGTATTCTGTATTACTATAGGTTGAGACAAGGGTTTCTAGCCACTCTTTGACATGCACCTGCATACTGGGCTGGACAATTATCTGTTGTGGGGCTGACCTGTGCATTGTAGGGTATTTAGCCAGACGACTGTCCCTTTTTCCCAGTGTGACAAATAAAACACGTCTGTAGACATTTGTGGTACTGTAGGATAAGCATTGGATTGCTAACCGCAAAGTCGGTGATTCAAACTTCCCAGCACTCGCCGGCAACCCTATACAGGAATGGTATGAATCGGAACCGGCTCAACGGCACCTAACAACAGATGTTTCCAATGTTCCCAAGGGGCAGAACCACTCTGGCCAAGAACCTCGGAGGATGGAGAACTCAGTGACTTGGTGCAGGCCTGGCTCAGCCTATAAGGGATGGTAGACACAAGGCAAGCAAGTCACCTGGCCTCTCTCAGCCTTCTCACTCTTCTGTAAAGCAAAGGGGTGAAGTGAGATATGCCTGCTAACATTCCCTCAGCCTGAGGGCTTTCTCCCAGGGTACATAATTGATAATGAATGTTCATCTTGATCTAGATGCTGAATTCAGCTGGAAGAAGTGGCTAGGCATTCATTTCCTTATTCCCTGTTACCAGTAGTCTTGACAAGGCTCCTTAAGTTTCCTGTCATTCTGCACTTCCAGGTTTGCCCGACTTGCTGCCACCACGTTCATCAGTCAGGAGATTCCTGTGTACCTCTTCTCGAATATCACCCCAACCCCCTTCGTGGTAAGTCACCGTTTCCTGCCCGAATTTCCGGTCATGGGACGGGGGAATGAGACATGGCTGAATTTCACAGTATTTAGTGCTGTTGGGATTCAAGTATTTGAAATGATAGCCAATGCTCTTTGGCATTTATCAGTCCTTTTCTTTTCTGTCCAGAAATAGTTCTTCCATATCCTAGTAATATTTCTTTGGTATTCAGCTATTGATATGTCAGAATTTATTTATTAAAATGCAATATTTTTGTGTTTGCATCCTTCAAATATTATAACAAGCCAACTAGATATATAAATACAAAATAGAAACTCTGGTGGTACAGTGTTTAAGTGCTTGGCTGCAAACCAAAAGGTTGGCAGTTCAAATCCACCAGCTGCTCTATGGGAGAGAGATATAGCAGTCTGCTTGTATAAAGAGGACAGCCTTGTGTGAACCCCATGGGGCAATTCTCCTGTGTCCCAGAGTGCCACTCTTAAGTGGGGATGTATTTGACGGCAACAGGTCTTGGTAGCAAAATGGATTTATTATTAGTTTGTTTTAAGATTTAGTTTAAAGTTCTTTTTCCCAACCATCATATTAGGAAACTTCTTGGGCCTAAATCTGAAATCAGCCTAAACCCTGTCATATCATGAATGTTTCTGACAAGTTGTACAACAGCTTTTTATACAAATCTTTCATTCTAATTGCAGCCAGCATAGAAAGCATGCTTGGTGTGTTTTAGCAAGATTTTTATCACATGACTTAAGTAGCAGGATCTGAACAAAAGGACTTAAGACTATGACGGATGTTGCTTTTAAGTAGGTGGAACTTACAAGAGCAGGGCCAGATGCTGATAATACATGTTTTTAGGAAGTGAGCCAAATATGCAATTCAGATGCAGTTACTTACCTCAAACATGAACGTGGCTGCATGAATACAGGAGAAATGAATGATGGCAGTTTTGTGTTTACTGTCTGCATTGTAATGACAATACCTCCTAGATTGGAAAGAATCCAGTAGGCAGGCCATTCGACTTCATATCCAAATTGAGTTCCGGTTTCATTGTTTGATGGGAAAATTGTAGTTTCTTCAAATGTCCTCATTGTGTTCTACATCTGTGTTAATGGCTATTATTGTTTATATCAGACATGAACTAAATGAGTGTCTGCTCATTATCTTTCACCATGGAGTGATTCTCCCCTTTACTTGGCAGTGCCTTACCCCTAAGAGGACAGACGATGGCAGTGATTGTTAGTGGGAGGTGCAGAGGGACAGGTGGTTAAAATCTCAGCTTCTCTGCATGAAGTAATGAAATATGCACTTGCCTCTCCCACGTAGAAAAGTACTTTTGTAAAGATGGAAGTAAAGTAGAAACATACCAGTCAGTTGAGTCAGTTCTGACTCATAGTGGTCCCATTTGTGTCAGAGATGAACTAGGTTTCATTAACTGGTATTTGGGAAGTAAATCATCAGGCCTTTTCACCTCCTCAAACTTCCAACATTTAGGTAGCAGGTGGGCACTTTAGCTGTTTGCATCACCCAGGGACTCCAGGTAGAAAAATAAGAGAAAGAGATGAATGAGCAAAACTGTGAAGAAACAAATTGTGTTTCTTTAACTTTTTCCTCAACCTCTTCCATAAAGCAAATGTGGTGAGGAAAGAGAAGAATTAAGTACTTGGAGGAAATAAAGGGATTCCATAAACTTCTAGTATGTTTCTACTTTTGCCAATAGGAAGTATAAATGAAGGTGCATTGAAGGAGTATAGACAACCTTTTTGTTTGACGATGTTCCTAGCTCCCCCAAGTAGACTTCGGGTACCTAGAAAAATACTCACCTTTCTTATTAGGGTGGACATCCCAGGATTTGAAGGAGCTAGGTTAGAGTCCTGGTGTGATACTGTAAGATAAGCACTAAACTTCTAATTGCAAGGTCAGTGGTTCAAACCCACTAGCCAGTTCAATTTCATAGGGTCACCATGAGTCAGAACTGACTCAATGGCATTTAACAACAGCAAAACTTTACTTGCTTGAGACATCAAAGAGATTGTCCGATGATTTCCGCATTCCGTTTGGTCACCTCTCTTTAGAATGGGCACAAATATGCATCTCTTCCAATCAGTCGGCCAGATAGTTGTCTTCCAAATTTCTTGGCAGAGATGAATGAGTGCCTCCTGTGTCGCCTCACTTTCTTGAAAGATTTCAATTTTTATTCCATCAATTCCTGGTGCCTTGTTCTTTGCCAATTCCTTCAATGCACCTTGGACTCCTCCTTCAGTATCATTGGCTCTTGATCATATGCTACCTCTTGAAACAGCTGAACATTAACCATTTCCTTTTGGTACAGTGACTCTGTATTCCTTCCATCTTCTCTTGATGCTTTCTGCGTCATTCAATAATTTGCCCAGAGAATCTTTCAATAAAGAAAGTCAAGGCTTGAATTTTTTCTTCAGTTCCCTCAGCTTGAGAAATGTTGAGCGTGTTCTTCCTTTTTGGTTTTCTGATTCCAGATCTTTGCACGTTGTATTGTAATATTTGGCTTTATCTTCTTGAGCTGATATTTGAAATTTTCTGTTCAACTCTTGTACCTACTTATTTCTTCCATTTGCTATAGCATCTCTACGCTGGAGAGCAAGTTTCAGTGTCTCTTCTGACATCCATTTTGACCTTTTCTTCTCTCTTGTCTTCTCAATAACTTTTTTTTTTTTAATGCTTTATTGTGAATTATGTGATAGTTTACATGGGAGGACATCAGCTTCACATTGATCCTGTTCTATATAGTTTCCTTGCTATGGTTACAATCCCTCCCATGCATCATCAATCAACCAAAGGGTATACCCCACAAGCCTGCCCCCCTGTCGTCTGTACACCGGTCCTCTCTCTCTCCAGGTCCAAAGTCTCCAGCCGCTCCATCTCCCCATGTCATCGTCTCTGCCTCCATCCCCGGCATCACTGCTTTTTTTGGGTAGGGTTCCATTCTCTGCTCCTCTTCTGTGATGGTCCCAGGGACCCCCGTTCCTAGACTGTAAGGTTAATCACTCCCCTCCCTTTGCCCCAAAACGTTCTCAATGACTTTTTGCTTTCTTCATGTATGATATTCTTGATGTCATCCCAGAACTCTTCTGGTCTTGGTTTTTACTGTTTAATGTATCAAATCTGTTCTTCAGATGATCTCTAAATTCAGGTGGGATATATTCAAGGTCATATTTTGGCTCTTGTGGCCTTGTTTTCATTTTCTTCAGCTTCAGGTTGAATTTGCATATGAGTAATTGATGGTCTATCCACAGTCTGCCCCTGGCCTCGTTTTCACTGATGATATGGAGCTTTTCCATCTTCTCTTTCCACAGATGTAGTCAATTTGATTTCTATGTTTTCCATCTGGTGAGGTCCATGTGTATAGTCATCTGTTATGCTGTCTAAAGAAGGTATTTGAAATAAATCATTGATTTTGCAGAATTCTATCATGCGTTTTGCAGCATCATTTGTATCTCCAAAGCCATATTTTCCAACTACTGATCCTTCCTCTTTGGTCCCAACCTTTGCATTCCAGTCACCAGTAATGATTAATATATCTTGATTGCATGTTTGATTGATTTCAGATTGAAGAAGTTGGTAGAATTCTTATATTTCATCTTCACTGGCTTTAGTGGTTAGTGCATAAATTTGAATAATAGTGGTATTAACTGGGCTTCCCTGTAGGCACATGGTTATTATCTTATCATAGACAACATTGTATCTCATGACTGATCTGGGTATGTTCTTTTTGACGATGAATGCGACACCATTCCTCTTCTATTTGTCATTCCCGGCATAGTAAACCATGTGGTTGTCAGATTCAAAATGGCCAATACCAGTCCATTTCAGCTCACTAATGCCTAAGATATTGATGGTTATGCGTTCCATTTCATTTTTGACAATTTCCAATTTTCCCAGATTCATACTTACTACATTCCATGTTCCAATTTTCAATGGATGTTTACAGCTATTTCTCTTCATTTTGAGTTGTGCCCCATCAGCAAATGAAGGTCCTGCGGGCTTTTCTCCCACAGGCTTTACTCTATTCGCATCATGACAGTCAACTCTACTTTGAGGAGGCAGCTCTTCCCCGGTCACATTTTGAATGCCTTCCAACCTGTGGGGCTCATTTTCCGGCACTATATCTGACAGTGTTTTTCTGTAATTCATAAGGTTTTCGATGACTAAGTATTTGGAAGTAGTTTGTCACTCTTTCTTCCTAGTCTGTCTTTGTCCGGAAGCTCATCTGAAACCTGTCCACCTTGGGTGACCCTGCTGGCATTTAAAAGACCGGTGGCATAGCTTTCAGAATCATAGCAACTCACAAGCCACCACAGTATGACAAACTGACAGACAAGTGGTGGTGTGTGATTGATAGAGGATATTTATTTGTATGTACTGTAAGTTTATCCATGTATTGGATATGCACTGGACCACAGTCAGTTTGAACCGCAAGGTTGCAGCTCAAACTCACCAGCCACTCTTGTGTGGAAGCCCTATAAAGGGTTACTATGTGTCGGAACTGACTTGACGATACTTAACAATAAACATAGTAGAACATACAAGGGGCAAGGTTATACAAACTTTGTATCATAACTAAATATCTTTTAAGGGACTTAGTCACTGGGTTGAAGGGCTTAGGACCATAGTTTTGAGGGGGGATATCTAGGTTAATTGGCATAATAATTCACAAAGACAATGTTGAATATCCTACTTTGTTCATTCATGACTGGGGTCTTTAAAGTTTGCAAACTGTCATCTTACATGCAACTATTGATCTTTGCTCATTCAGAGCAGGGAGGAGGAATAAAGTCAAAAACTCAAGGAGACAATTAGATCGAATAACTGAGATCTCAGCAACCAGACGGTGCCTAGGTGTTACTGTTGACTTACTGTTCTGATTAGGATCCCAATACAAGGTCCTGGACAGAATAGGAGAAAAATGTAGAACAAGATTCAAAATCTTAAAATAAAACACAAACCAGATTTACAGGTCTGGTAGAGACCAGTATATCTCTAATGCTCTATATCTTTTAGATACCCTTCAGACCTGGAGCTGAAACGCCCACCACCAAGCACCACCTTTTAGCCTAGCGATATCCTATAGTGCTACTTACTGTAGGATTAAACACTGAACTGCTAACCACAAGATCAGCAGTTCAAACCCACAAGGCTGCTCCTTGGAAACCCTCTAAAAGGTTGCTATGAGTCAGAACCAATTTGATGTCACTTAACCACAGCAACAACAATATCGGGTGAACAGTGACACCCATGAGGAACATGGAGGGCCACATTTGCCCAAGAACAAAGTTCAAAAGGCAAGAAGGGGCAGGAGAGAGGGTCGAATGGAAAAGGGGAACCCTGAGAGGAAGTGGGGGGAAATGCAGTTACATGGAAGGGATTGCATCTAAAGTCACAAAACAAACACTAGTTTGTTGGGAAACTAGTGTGTTCAGTAAGCTTTCACCCAAATCACATTCGAATATCCACACCCAAAAAAAAAAAAAAATCCGAAAGAATAATTGATACAAATAGTATTGTTGTTGTTGTTAGGTGCCATCGAGTCGGTACTGACCCATAGCGACCTTAATGCACAGCAGAATGAAACACTGCCCGATCCTGGGCCAACCTCACTACTTTTGCCACACTTGAGTCCATTGATGCTGCCACTTGGCCAATCCATCTCGTTGGGGGTCTTCCTCTTTTTCTTTGACCCTCCACCTTACCAAACATGATATCCTTCTCCAGCAACTGGTCCCTCCTGGCAATATGTCCAAAGTATGAGAGGTGAAGTTTGGCCATCTTGGCCTCCAGGGGGCACTCTGGCTGCACTTCTTCCAAAATGGATCTATTGGTTCTTTTGGCAGCCCATGGCACTTTCAATATTCTTCAATACCATAACTCAAAAGCACCAGTTCTTCTACGGTCATCCTTATTCACTGTCCAGTTTGTGCATGCATATGAGATTACTTAAAATATTTCTAATACTTTTGTTAAAACGTTTATGTTACAGCCCTACACAGTGTCACACTTGAAACTTTGTGCAGGAATCATGATAACTGCTTCTCATAATCCAAAGCAGGACAATGGATACAAGGTATTTTTCTTTTTCTTTCCAGACATCTTCCCTTCTATATAAATCTTAGACTTTTTACTATTTGGGAGCATAGGCGCTTTGTTTTCTTTAATAAGCTCTAACCCTTTTTGGGACATGTCACTGCATCTTCTAGGTCTATTGGGATAACGGAGCTCAGATCATCTCTCCTCATGATAAAGGGATTTCTCAAGCTATTGAAGAAAATCTGGAGCCGTGGCCCAAAGCGTGGGAAGATTCTTCCATTGATAACAGTGTGTTTCTTCATAAGCCAGGTTTCATCAATAAAGACTACTTTGAAGACCTTAAAAAATACTGTTTTCACAGGTAAGGTAAATGGATTGTGTCTTCTCTGACTTGAAGTGAATTCAATTATATCATTGTCCATTTTTCTATTTGATTGTACTGCAGCTGTATCAGATTTTAGAGCCTATAGGCCAGGGGTCCTCATACCTTTTCTTAAAGGACCAGATAACACATATATTTTTGGTTTTGTGACCCATATGGAGTCTGTTCAACTCAGCTCTGCTATCAAAGCCTGGCAGCAACCACAGACAGTAAGTAAAGAGAAGAATGTGAGCATGACCATTCTGAACAACTTTATAAAAACAGTGGCCAGCTCACGGGATCATCTGCTGAACCTCACTGTAGATTCATGTGTGTGTGCATGTACACATATGTATATGTGTGGGTATATTAGATATGTGTCTGCATGTGTGTATATGTATATAAAAAACAAAACTTGCAGAAAGTGGTTGGCTATTAAATGCTGACATTTTTCGTACATATCTTTCCAGAAAATTTCAGTGCATGTGTAAGCATATATGTGTATGATTTAAAAATCATATATATAGATATAAATATAGTTTGTTCCGGGCATTTTGTTTTTGTTTATAGAGTTTGTGCTATGTCGTTTTCCTCCTGGGTACCGTTCTCTGCTAGCCCTGTGTTAGTTCCTTAGCACAGCTGTGACAGTAATCCAAGCAGTAGTGCTGTGCAGTGAGTGAGAAAAAGACATCAACTGGGTGCACAGCTTAAAGACTGTCATCAGTGTCACTGAATTGGACATTAGAAATCGTTCAGATAGTTTTTGTCATATATTCGTGAGGGCTTCAAAAAGTGTGTGGAAAATTCTTTTATCTTTTAAATCCATTTTTCCAATAACTTTGGAAATAGCCCCTCATATTGTCAACATAATTTTTAAAAGGGAAGAAATACCATCAGTGGTTGACTTTATAAAACAAAAAATGTATTTTCTACAAGTTGACATGGTTAGAAGTCCAAATTCAGGACACTGGCTCTTGGAGACAGCTCCTGGGACACTGGCTCTTGGAGACAGCTCCTGATGTCAGCTCCTAGAAACCCTGAGATTCTTGGTTCCTAGGTGATCTTCACCTGTGCTCCCATCTTCTGAGTTTCTGCTTGCTTGTCCCTGTGTTTATGCTGCTCCTCCCAACTCAGCAGTGGTTAGGTTTAAGACCTACACAAAGGAGCGCTGGTAGCATTGTTGTTGTTGTTAGGTGTCATCGACTCAGTACCGACTCATGATGTCTCTATGCACAATAGAACGAAACACTGCCCGTCCTGAGCTAATCTCACAGTTGTTGCCACTCTTGAGCCCATTGATGCTGCCACTTTCCCAATCCATCTAGTTGGGGGTCTGTCCGTTTTTCTCTGACCCTCCACTTTACCAAACATGATATCCTTCTCCAGTGACTGGTTCCTCCTGACAATAAGTCCAAAGTATGAGAGATGATGTCTAGCCATCCTGGCTTTCAAGGAGCACTCTGGCTGTACTACTTCCAATATAGATCTGTTTTTTTCTTTTGGCAGCCCATGTTACTTTCAATATTCTCCTCCAACACCATAATTCAGAGGCATCAATTTTTCTACAGTCTTCCTTATTCACTGCCCAGCTTTCACATGCATATGAGGTTATTGAAAATACCATGACTTGGGTCAGGCGC